ATGTGTGTGTGTGTGTGTGTGTGTGTGTAAGATGAAAATTATAGCATGCATGTGTATGCAGTGACAGGCGTGCATGTAAACACACATATCTATAAATGATGGAAAGGACACTAGTACACATGCCCTTAAGCAAGCTCTTATTTTTCTGCTCTTCTTCTGTCATATAAATAGCAAACCTTAGCTTAGCAGAGCAGTGATTACATTGCTGAATTCTGCATATTTCAAAGGTTAAAGTTTTGTTTAGACTATGAAAAAAAAAAAAGACTTTTAAACCAATTCAAAGCAACAACAAGAGAAGCACACATTTTCATGGTGGAGTTTCATGTGCTGTTTTATATTCAGAATTTGAAGGGTTTCAGGTTTGCTGTACAGTGACTCTGCTGCTGTCTAATTGTCTAAGTGTCATTACTTACATTTCACTGCTGGTCATATATTCTCTATATAACCATGCATGTGACAAATACAAAATCTTGAATCTTGAATTATAGTATAAACACTCTTCGTCCAAGCTTTCTTATCCAAGCTCGCTTTCCCATTAATGCACAAATTGATCAAAAAAAAAAAAAAACAGTATTTATTTTCTTTCAGACCATTTCTGTCATCTGCATGCAAGCTTCATGAGACAGATCTTGCAGCGCAGGCTCCTGTTTGTGTTTGGATTTCATAGAACTCAAAAATCAATGCGTTTCTCAAGCATGTCAATGTACATTCTTTAAGTACAGGTGTAGGGCAATTCTTACAACACTGAAACTTGTGTAGCAAAACGAAAGCAGGGAATGGCATTCAACTAAACTGTCAACTTTAAACAGCCAAAAGCAATGAGATCAAAGGCATGCGCTGGAGTCTCTTCTCTCTCTAGATTACAGCCCTAACGGTTTGAACCCTTAATGCTATTAAAGGGAACCAGGACATCTCTCCCAACCATGGTTACTGAGTAAATCCCCTCTGGACTCAAAGATGACCAGAGCCGCGTTTGAGTGAGCAGTGGTCAAATGGAGCTTTTGCACCGACTTTCAGCACCAACCATCTTTGTAACATTTTATGCTCTGG